GACCACTCAACCAGGAAGACGGAGCAGATGAGGCCCTCTATAGACAGATAGGAGCAGCCTCATGTTCGCAAGCCCTGGTCCTCATGGGGGACTTCAGCCACCATGATATCTGTTGGAGGGACAAGACAGCAGGGCATAAGCAATCCAGGAGGTTCCTGGAATGTATTGATGATGACTTCCTTGATAGAGGAGCTAATGAGGAGAGGTGCCATGCTGGACCTTGTTCTCACCAACAAGGGGGCACTGGTGGGGAATGTCAAGCTCAAGGGCAGCCTTGGCTGCAGTGACCATGGAATAGTGGAGTTCAACATCCTCAGGGCAGCAAGGAGGATGCACAACAAGCTCCCTACCCTGGGCTTCAGGAGAGCAGACTCTGGCCTCTTCAGGGATTTTCTAAAACCTGACCAAGGACATCAAGGGCAACAAGAAAAGCTTCTATAGGTGGTACATCAATGATAAAAGGAAGACTAGGGAAAATGTGGGCCCTCTCCAGAAGGAAATGGGAGACCTGGTTACCCAAGATAGGGAGAAGGCTGAGGTACTCAATGAATTTTTTGCCTCAGTCTTCACCGGCAAGCGTTCAAGCCACACCGCCCAAGTTGCAGAAGGCAAAGGAAGGAAATGGGAGAATGAAGAACTGCCCACTGTTGGAGAAGATCAGGTTTGAGACAATCTAAGGAACCTGAAGGTGCACAAGTCCATGGGATGTGATGAGGTGCATCCACGGGTCCTGAGGGAACTGTGGATGAAATGGCTACGCCACTCTCCATCCTATTTGAGAAGTCATGGCAGTCTGGTGAAGTTCCCACTGACTGGAAAAGGGAAAACATAACCCCCATCTTTAAAAAGGGAAAAAAGGAAGACCTGGGGAACCACAGGCCAGACAGTCTCAGCTCTGTGCCTGGCCAGATGATGGAGCAGATCCTCCTGGAAACTATGCTCAGGCACATGGAAAATAAGGATCCATGGCTTCAGTATGGGCAAATCGTGACTAACAAAATTGGTGGCCTTCTATGATGGGGTTACAGCGTTGGTAGATAAGGGAAGAGCAACTGATGTCATCTACCTGTACATGTGCAAAGCATTTGACACTGTCCCGCATGACATCCTTGTCTCTAAATTGGAGAGACATGGATTCGATGGATGGACCACTTGGTGGATAAGGAATTGGCTGCATGGTCGCACTCAGAAAGTTGTGGTTAACAGCTTGGTGTCCAAGTGGAGACCAGTGATGAGTGGCATCATCAGAGGTTGGTAGTGGTACCGGCGCTGTTTAACATCTTTGTCGGCGAACATGGACAGTGGGATCAAGTGCACCCTCAGCAAGTTTGCTGACAACACCAAGCTGTGTGGTGCAGTCAACAAGCTGGAGGGAAGGGTTGCCATCCAGAGGGACCTTGACTGGCTTGAGAGGTGAACCTCATATGAACCTCATAAAGTTCAACAAGGCCAAGTGCAAGGTTCTGCACATGGGTAAGCGCAATCCCAAGCACAACTACAGGCTGGGCAGAGAATGGATTGAGAGCAGCCCTGAGGAGGATGAGAAGTTCACATGACCTGACAATGTGCGCTTGCAGCCCAGAAAGCCAACCGTATCCTGGGCTGCATTAAAAGAGGTGTGACCAGCAGGTCAAGGGAGATGATCCTCCCCATCTACTCCACTCTCATGAGACCTCACTTGGAGTATTGAGTCCAGCTTTGGGTCCACCAGCACAAGAAAGACATGGACCTGTTGGAGCAAGTCCAGAGGAGAGCCACAAAGATGATCAGAGGACTGGAGCACCTCTCGTATGAGGACAGGGTGAGGGAGTTGGGGTTGTTCAGCCTGGAGAAGAGAAGGCTCTGGGGAGACCTTCTAGCAGCCTTCTAGTACCTAAAGGGGGCCTACAGGAAAGCTGCAGAGGGACTGTTTACAAGGGCATGGAGTGATAGGACAAAGGGTAATGACCTTAAGCTGAAGGAGGAAAGATTTAGATTAGATGTTAGACAGAAATTCTTCACTGTGAGGGTGGTGAGGCACTGGAACAGGTTGCCCAGAGAAGTTGTGGATGCCCCCTCCCTGGAAGTGTTCAAGGCCAGGTTGAATGGGTCTTTGGGCAACCTGGTCTAGTGGAGGGTGTCCCTGCCCATGGCAGGGGTATTGGAACTAGATGATCTTTGAGGTCCTTTCCAACCCAAACCATTCTATGAGTCTATGGTTCTATAAATAGTCAAATGCCTTCAAAATGCATTTAATACAGCCATAAATCTGAGCGACGTAAAGCTGTCATTCCTCAGATACAGCTGGATACAGGTGATCTGGGAGGCCACTGTAACTAATTTGCAGCACCATATCACTGTGAAGGGTCTGCTTTGTGTTAACTGTAGGACAGTGCATAGTCATCTCTGGCAAATTTTTAGGGTTGATAGGAGTCTGTGGTGCAGGAGAACTGGAAACTTCATAAGGAAATATAAAAATGCCAGAAAGCAAGGCCGTGTAATACCATGAAGATGTTATGCTAAAGAACTTATCTTCCCTCTTCTCCCTCATAGCTCTGAGAAAACAAGCGCCAAATTAAAAATTATTTTGCAAATTAAGGGGCATGTAGTATCTTTGAGTAAGAGCTAGAAAATGTGCAGAATTAAATC